ACATGTCTCTATGTCCCCTGTGTCCCTGTGTCCGCCATGTCCCTGTGTCCCCATGTCCCCGTGTCCCCATGTCCCCATATCCCCATGTCCCCGTGTCCCCATGTCCCAGTGTCCTTGTGTCCCCCGTGTCTCCATGTCCCCTGTGTCCCTGTGTCCCCCATGTCCTCTGTCCCCATGTCCCCATATCCCCATGTCCCATGTACCCATGGCCCAAGTGTCCCCTATATCCCCATGTCCTCGTATCCCCATGTCCCCTTGTGTCTCCATATCCCCATGTACCCGTCTCTCTGTCCCCATATCCCCGTGTCCCCCTGTCCCTCTGTCCCTCTGTCCCCACATCCCCACGTCCTTGTATCCCCGTGTCCCCCATGTTGCCCTGTCCCTGTGTCCCCATGTCCCCACGGTGCCACCCTGCAGCACGTCCCGCTCACCTCTCCCTGCCAGCCAAGGTCGGTGCTCCTGGGGACACCGTGTGGCACCTGGTGTGCCCTCAGTGCTGTCACTCCTGTGCTTTGTGGCACTTTGGGCACAGTCCTGTCCCTGAGCTCTGCCCAGTTCTCCCAGTTTGGGCCCTGCTGGGGGCTCAGGCCATGCCCGGGGCTGCAGCTCGTCCCTTTGTGTCCCACCCTGGGCACTGAGGTGGCACTGCCACCCCGGGAAGGGCAGGAACGGGTGACAATGGGAGGGGGCTCCACACAGACTTGTCCCTTGTTCCCCCGCCAAAAGGAACGCAGGGGTTAAACGCCATCAGCAGCGCCACCACCAGTGCCGCCAGTGCCACCACCGGTGCCACCGCTGTCCCCAGGGCTCCCTCTCGTGGCTTCTCGGCCCTTCCCATGGGGTGACTGAGGGACCCGCGGGGCAGCGGCAGCCGGGACAGCGGGGCCGGGGGTCCCCGAGCCGCGGGGCTCCGAGCGGGGACACCCCTGTCCTGTCCCCTCCTGTCCCCTCCTGTCCCCTCCCGGCCAGCCTGGCTGTGCCCATCCCCTGCAGCAGAACCCGCGGGACGCGGCGGGCCCGGAGGGGGTGCGGGTCCTGTCCGGGGGTGTCGGGGGATGTCGGGGGGTCCCGGCCGTGCCCCCCATCCCCTCCCTGCGCTCCGCGGGGCCGCAGCCGGGGCGGTGTCGGCAGATGGCAGCAGCGGCGTTCGGCAGGGCTGGGATAAGGGGGCTGCCAGCATTGCCCGCACCTCCTGAACCCCCTGAACCCCCTGAAACCCCTGAACTCCTGTATCCTGCACCTCCTGAGCCCCCTGAACCCCCTGAAACCCCTGAACTCCTGTATCCTGCACCTCCTGAGCCCCCTGAACCCCCTGAAACCCCTGTATCCTGCACCTCCTGAGCCCCCTGAACCCCCTGAAACCCCTGAACTCCTGTATCCTGCGCCTCCTGAGCCCCCTGAACCCCCTGAATCTCCTGTACTTCCTGAACCCCCTGCATTCTGCACTTTCTGCACCTCCTGTACCTCCTGAACCCCCAGAACCCCTGTACCCCACACTCCCCGCACCTCCTGAGCTCCCTGAACCCCCTGTACTTCCTGTACCTCCTGAACCCCCTGAATCTCCTGTGCCCCCTGTACCTCCTGAGGCCCTGAACCCCCTGTACCTTCTGAACCCCTGTACCCCTCAGTTTCTGCACCTCCTGCACCTCCTGAACCCCCTGAACCCCTAGAACCACTGTGCCCCCTGTACCTCTTGAGCCTCCTGCATCCTGCACTTGCTGCATCCCCTGAACCCCCAGAACCCCCTGTACCCCTCATTCCCTGCATCTCCTGCACCCCTTGAACCCCCTGCACCCTCTGTACCCCCTGTACACCCCGAACCCTCTGCATCCCGCACTTTCTGCACCCCCTGAAACCCCCGAACCCCCAGAAGCCCCTTCACCCCCTGTACCCCTCACTCCTTGCACCCGTAGAACCCCCTGTACCCTCTGTACCCCCTGTACTCCTCACTCCTTGCACCCCCAGAACCCCCTGTAGCCCCTGCACCTCCTGAACCCCCTGCCCCTCCCAGCACACCCCTCTGTACCCCACACCCCCCCAGAGCTGGGACTGTCCCTTTTGGGGGACACCCACCCCCATTTCCCTCATGGGCTGCACAGAAATCCCCTCCCAATGGTCCCACACCCATTTAGGGACAGTTTTCGGTGTCACCGCGCTGCGGGCTCGGTGCTCGGCCCCAGCAGGGCCCGGAGCGGTGAGGAGGGCTGGCTGTGAGGGGTGGGACAGCTGGAGCCTCCCAGGTGTCCGTCTGGAGCGGCTGCGGAGCCCGAGTGCGTAATTAGAGCTGCGGCTTAATTGGCAGCCGGGGGGACGCGTGACGGGCGCGGTGTGACTTGAATAGTGATGGGCTGGGGAGGAGCGGGAGGCTCAGAGGGAGCCCAGAGGGACCAGGACACCCCGAAAAGCTTTGGCAGGTGGTGGGAAGGGAGAGGGGACAGGGAAAGGACAAGCAGAGCGTGGGTTGTGCCGTGAAACCCGAGACTTGAGCCCTCAGAAGGGACATCAATGCAGTGGTGACATCCCAGGGCACCTGCTGGGTGTGGCAGATGTCGTGGGGATGGAATAGAGCGATGTTCCTCCTTTATTTGGAAAGGGGGAAAGGAAAAAGCCAAGGGGTTGTGGTGGTAGTGGTGTTCAGGCTCTGGAAAAATACCAGGACACATCCAAAACCCTCCTGGGGGAGTCTGGGAGGCAGTGGCATGACAGGGACCAGCCTTGTCACATCTGCCAGGAGCCTCTGGGGCAAAACATTCCCTGTCCCATGTGTGGGGCTCAGCCTTGGTTCAGGATGGGGTCCAGGCAGGCAGGGAATCCTTGGTTTGTGTGTCAATCCCTGCATCTCACTGCTGGGGGACACGGAATTCCCTCTGCAGAATGGGAAAGCTGCTGCTGGCAGAGAGGAACATCCTGCTGGGACCTCAGCTTTGCCTTCCTGGAGCTGTTCTGGCATCTCTGGTACCAGAATTTGGGGTTTGTGGCGCTGCTCCAGGTGTGCAGCCCACGGGGGAGGCACCACAGGAGGCTGAGCCCGGCAGTGTCTCCTGCCCGGCCTCGTGTTCTGCCAAAGGAAGGCCCAGGGGAAGCAGCAGCCTGGCCTGGAGCCACTCCCTGCATGGCTGGGCCCAAATCCTGCTCCTTCCAGTTATCCCTGCATGGCTGGGCCCAAATCCTGCTCCTGCCAGCCCAAATATCCCTGCATTGTGCCCAAATCCTGCTCCTTCCAGTTATCCCTGCATTGTGCCCAAATCCTGCTCCTTCCAGCCCAGCCATCCCTGCATTGTGCCCAAATCCTGCTCCTTCCAGCCCAGTTATCCCTGCATTGTGCCCAAATCCTGCTCCTTCAACCCATCCATCCCTGCATTGTGCCCCAATCCTGCTCCTTCCAGCCCAGCCTGGATGTGGGGTCCCCCAATCTCAGTTCAGGCAGCTCCAGCGAGGATCTGAACCCCCCCTGTCCATTCCTGGTGCTCCTGCTCCTCCCCTGCACCTTCTCCAGCGCTGAATTGATGAAATTTTAATCTGCTGCCAGGCAGGAGATGAAAGGGAGGCACCACAGGCATTTCCCTGGATGCAGCAGGGACTGTGGGGCTGGGATTGTCATCACCCAGGCTGGGCAAAGAGCTGGAGTGGCACCGGCTTGGCAGGACAGGGCTGTCCCCTGGCTGTCCCCTGGCTGTCCCCTGGCTGTCCCCTGGCTCTGGCAGAGGATTTTGGCTCTTCTTGGGCGTCTGTCACTTGTCCAGGAAGGATCTTTGGGGACTCCTCAGCTGGGGGGGCTCTCACTGTGCCCATGCATGGCTGGAGGGAGGGTGGCAAGGGCAGGGTGACAAGGGCAGGGTGACAAGGGGAGGGTGGCAAGGGGCAGCCAGAGCCCCCCACACCTGATTCACCCCCTTCTCCGTCCAAAGCAGAGAAAAACCACCATGCCATCAACCAAACCTTAGGAAGCAGGATTGCCATAAATGTGGGACCCCAGTGATGCTCCTGGGAGTCCCCAGCACACCTGGGCAGGTGGCAGATGGACACCTGGGACAGACAGACAGACAGGGAGGGACACACAGCCAGCACTCCCCACCTGAGTCCCTGTCACTCCCCACTGTCCCTGGGTGCTGGAAGGTGCCACCTGTGCCCAGAGCCAGCAAGGGCCAGGACACCCCTATTGCTGCTGGGGAGGTCACAGCAGGGTCCCCCTCTTGTATCACAGGATTTGGGACTTGGATTCTGTCCCCATCGCCGGCCAGCATCAATCAGAGGGTGCCATTAATTACCCTGGAGGAACGGCTAATTGGATCCTCTTCCCTCGGAATCCAGCGCCCGCTGCCCCGCAGGGCTGTGTGACACCCCGGGGGTGACACGTCCCTGTAGGGCTGTGTGACACCCCGGGGGTGACATTACCCCACAGGGCTGTATGACACCCGGGGGTGACATGACCCCATAGGACTGTGTGACACCCCGATGGTGGCACTGTCCAGCAGGGCTGTGTGACACCCCGGGGTGACATGACCCCATAGGACTGTGTGACACCCCGATGGTGACACGTCCCCTCCGCTGCTCCCGGCGGGATGGGACCCCCGGTGTCCGAGCACCCCCGGGACGGCAGTCCGGGATCCCGGCGGAGGCGGGCCGGGGAAACTGAGGCACGGAGCGGGGGCCCCGAGGCGCCCCCGTCCCGCCGCCCCCGGGGCCGGGGGAGGGACCGGAGCGGGGCTGCCCGGCGCTGCAGCGGGCGGAGCCGGGGCTCGGCGGGGCCGCCTCCCGGTCGAGCCCAGCCGTGCCGAGCCGTGCCGTGCCGAACCGAGCCGAGCCGATCCGAGCCGAGGCGAGCCGGGCGGAGCGGAGCCGCACCGGGCAGCACCGGGCAGCACCGGGCGGCACCGGCGGTACCGGCGGCCCCGGCGCTCTCCGCGGTGCTGAACGGCTCCGCCGCGCCCGCAGGACGCGCCGCCGGCGGGGCCCGGCCCGGCCCGGCCCGGAGCGGCTCGGCCCGGCCCCGAGCGGCCGCGGGGGATGGAGCCTTTCCTCGGCTGCACCGGCGCCGCGCTCCTGCTCTGCTTCAGCTACGCCGGTCTGCGCCCGGTGGAGGCAGGTACGGGCGGCCGGGCCCGGGAGCGGCTCCGGGGCTGCGCGGGGCGGGTTCGGGGCCGGCAGAGACCCCGGGGGCAGCGGGCAGGGCTGCGCAGAGGGGCCGGAGTTTGGGGGGACTTTGGCGGGAATTGGGGGCGGGAGAGGCGGCGATTCGGGACACGCAGCCCCCGGTACCCGGCTCGGGCAGCGCCGGGAGCTCGCAGCATCCCCGGGGACGGAGGGGTGGGAACGGCGAGAGGGAAACGAGGAGGGAGAGGGGCAGGGGGAGCTTTGGGGCACCTGAGCCGCGGCCCCGGTTGGTGTCACGGGGCTGAACCGGAGTGGAGGGGGCAAAGCCGGGTCTGCTCTGTCCGTGTCCCTTCCCGGCTGTCCAGGGCCCAACCGGGCTCTGCTGGGAGCTCCGAGAATGATGGGGAAGCACCGTGGTCCCAAAGGAACCCTGGTGGCCCCAGAAGAACCATGGTGGTCCCAAAGGAACCACAGTGATCCCAGAGGAACCACGGTGGTCACAGAGGAACCCTGGTGGTCCCAAAGGAACCCTGGTGGCCCCAGAGGAACCCTGGTGGTCCCAAAGGAACCCTGGTGGCCCCAGAGGAACCACCTCTCCAGGGGTTTTGCACATGCCAGACCCCTCCGAGCTGAGCAGCTCACATGGAGTGGGGATCTTTGCTGAAGGCAGTGCTCCCTTGAGCTGGAGCTAATTTTGGAGCTACCAGGATGGACCCAAGTCCATTCCTGCCTTGGCTGGCCCCAGGAGCCCCTGTGTGGGTGTGAAGTGGGCAGGGGAGCTCCCCAGCCCAAAGCAGCTGAGGGCTGGCTGCCTGGCTGGCTCTAAGATGTTGGTGGAACAGCTGCTTTGATTTGCAGCCTGCTGCTTGCCAGGATGTCTTGCATTCCAGGAGGCTGGGGGTGATTATTAGGGATGCAGAGCTCCAGGGAGTGGAAATTCCTTCTCTCCAGCCACCCCTCGAAGATGCTGGAGTTCCATTTGGGGTTACACACGGGGCTGCAGCAAGCCCTGAGTGCCTTCAGCTCTGCCACCCGTCCTTGGCCAGGCATTGACTCCTGAAGTTGCTGTCTCACATCTGCCAGACCTGGGGAGATTAATGAAAATTCCCAAAGGGAGGGAGGGATGAGGAAAACACCACAAAACACAATGGAGGCGTCTGCAGCTGTGACAGCACTCGGGGTTTCTGTAAACGAGGCCACTTCCCTGCTCTTCCTTATCCTTGGATCACCTCGCTTGGCATCCCAGAGTAAACAGGGAGTTGTGTCAGTGGCCAAAACACCTCATTCTCCTGTCAGTGCCACGTCCCCAGGAGCTCACAGTGAGCTGTGTCACTTTGGGGTGCTGCCATGCACCCTCACTGCCTCCCCCTCCTGTGCCACCCGTGCCAGGGGTCCTGTGAGCACTCCCAGGTGAGGCTGAGGGTTTGTGCTGTCCCTGTTTCCCAGGGATGAGGGCACTGAGTGATTTTCCCAAGGTCACACAGAGGCAGTGGCAGCGTCACCACTGTGCCAGCTCCGTGTCCCCAGCCCCCACAAGGCCACCAAGGCACACGAGCCCAGAGTCACTGGAAAAGCCCATGGGGAGGAAATCATTCCCAGGCAGGGTTGGAGGCTCCAGGGTTTGTCCCCTTTGCACCCAGAGCTTGTGTGAGTGGGTTTAAAATAATTCCTGTCATGAGAGATTAAAGCTGCCACTCCCAGGAGGGACTGGTTCAAATTCCCCCCTGGCAATGCCAGGCCAAGGGCTGGTGGGTGGCACTGAGCACAGGCCCCGCTCTGAATTCAGGGATTTTGGCCAGGCAGGATCAGTTTTTGCCAAGGTGATGCCAAGGTGAGTGAGGAGGGAAAGCAGGAGCAGGAGGATGAGGTGACTGAGAAATGATCTTCACACCAACGCTCCTGGGCAACCCCAAATCCCACCTGGGTGGGTGATGCCCTCCCACCACTCCCCCTGCTCCAGAAGGTCCCTGAGGAAACTCAGGATGGCTGGAAAGTCAAGAATAAGATTTAATTTTGTCCCCTCCTCATTAGGCCGAGCTAACGAAGAGAGGGGAGCTGGGCTGGGCTCAGGGCGCTGCTGAGGGCTCAAAGAGCAGGGGGGCGATGATGGGAGACCCCAAAATAGGCCACGGCCCCTGTGACTTGCAAACAGCCTCATTGCGAGGTGCCAGCCCGTGGAGCAGCTCAGGTCAGGTTTATTTTTGTCAGATGGAGAGCAGAGGTGACACAGCTCAGGTAAAACCTCGTTCTGCCAGCCCTTGGAACCAGGACGAGCTCCAGCTTGAGGAGCCCCTTCACAGCTGCCCGAAAAGGTGCCAAACCCCCCTGGCTGCATTCTGAAGGCACTTCAAACCAGCCTGACCCCCTCCCCAGGCAGCCCCCAGCCCTGTGGGGGAAGGAGAGCACAGCAAAGGCTCCAATCTGACTCCAGGTGCTGTCTGAGCTCCCCAAGGAGCTGGGATCACCTCTGGATCAGGGTGAGCCACAAGCTCAGCAGGCTCAGGAGAGCAGCACAAGGTCTCCCAGCAGTTTGGAAACAACAATCCAGCCCACTGCAGCCTCTCCCTCCATCCCAGAGGCTGGGGAGATCCCTGCCTGGCTGGGGATGGCGTAAGAGCTTTATTGATTGCTGCGCTCGGCGTGGGAGGGATTTAATTGGCATGGGGAGGTTTCTCACCCTGGTGTCAGGCTCTCAGCAGGGATGGTGCTGTGAGAGGCAGCCAAGGTTGAGCCATCCTCTTCCAAATGCTGTTTCCTGCTGGGATTCTGCTTGTGGGAAAGGGAGATTCCTCCCAGAGAGATGTGCTTGCAATGAAATGCACGTGCTGCTCCTGGATCCGTCCTCTCCCTTTGGATGTTCATTGCTAAACAAACTCTTGCTGGTTTTATGAAGTGCCCAAAGGCTGAATTAGGGCCTGGGTCGAGTATAACTCAGTTAAAAGCAGGAATGTGTGGAGCAATGAAGCTGCAAACCTTTATGTGTGCAGTAAAAGGTGGGAAACAGGAGCAGAGCTGGGCTGGGAGCAGGCAGCAAAATCCTGGGAGAGGCCTGGTGTCAGCATCCAGAGAATTCCCAGGCTTCCTCACCCCCCTGATTGCTCTGATATTTCAGAGGTGTGGGATAAGAGGAGCTAGAAAAGCCTGTGGTACCCAGGTCTCTGTGGATATTTAAATCCTGGATAAAAAATGCAAAAATACCACGATGGGAATGACTCTGCTCTGAGGGGGCAGCATTTAAACCCAAACTGTGGCACCGGGGAGACCTGAGAGAATCCTGCCTGTCTCTGGGACTCTCCAGGGTAGAAATATTCCTTCCTTCAGCCACAAGGAATTCCCAATGGCTGGCTGGCCACAGTCTCTGTGCTCCCTGAAAAGGCTCCACGCTCCTGGCAGCATTTCCAGCACGTTTGGGCAGCTGCTCCCTGAGGAATCAGCCCCAGAGCCAAGGGCTGGGCAGGAGGGGGCTGGGGGCCTATTAATATCCCATTTTTATAGGGAACTGAATGGCCAGCAGGGAATAATTGCCTCTTTCCCAGCTCAAGAACCACCAGTTGGCCTCTGTGCTCTTTGAAATCTCTGGATCTTAGCAAACAGCTCGGCTTCCCGTGGGGCTGGGAGCAGGAATGATCCCTGCTCCCACACATCCCCCTGGGGCTCCCTTCATTAAAACCCTTGGGAATGCTGAGCCATGTGCCAGCCCTTCCTACACACCCCATAAAACCCACAAGCAATTACAGCCACGCATGGGGATCCATGCTGGGAGAGCACAGAGAAAGCAGCAACAGCAGCTCTGTGTGAATCCACACTCAGGGAAAGGGTAAAAAAAACATCACATGGATTTTAGGGATCGTGTCCTTTCATCTCCTGCGTCTCCAGGGAAGGTTGTGGTGCAGGAATCAAGAGATGCTGGGAATTGAGGCTGGGATTCACTGCTTGCTGCAGGAAGGGGCAGCAGGAAAGCAGGGAATGAGCTGCTCCACAGCCTCAGCTCACCAGACCCTGTCCCTGGGGCTCTGAGGCAGCTCAAACCCTTCCCAGCAGGGAAGGAGCTGCTTGGGAGAGGAGCTGAGTGAATTGGGAAATGCTGGGAATACAGCACAGCCTCGGGAAGGATGCAATTCCAAGCTCCTCCACGGGAGAGGTGAATTCAGGGGGTTTCGGGGACCCCTTGGGTGAAGAGAGAAATCCAGAAATACACTTTGATTCCAGACCTGTGGAATTCAGGACTTGGCTGGCCTGAGGTGACCCCAAGGATGTGACATTCCCACAGGTTCCTCCTTTCCTTCAGTGATGCAGCTGCGGCCTGGGTACCTCCCTGATCCTACCAGACACCCCAAAATTCAGCCTCCTCCCCATTCCCAGGTGACAGCAGCAGTGGGATGGAACAAAACTTTTCCCTGCTCTTTTTCCCATCCCAAAGCTCCCTTGAGGGATCCAACTCACAGAAAAGCAGGGGGGGGCTCCTCTTCCTCGTGCCACTTATGAGCTGCAAAGCCTGTGTGGGGTTCTCTCTCCAATTAAAGTCCAACAACAACGAGGAAAACGTTTAATGGAAGGCTGGGAGGGGTTCTCAGCACGGGGGAGGGACGCAGGATCATCTCCAGGGCTCAGGATTTCTTGGTGCACAGCGGAGGCTCCGACCTGCTCCGGCCAAAGGGGCCCCAGGTGCGGCGGAACCGGGGAGGGCTGGGACACACGGGCCTGGGGCATGGCAGATTCCTCACTCTGTGGGAAGGAAACCAGATGGGGTTTTAGAAATCCTCTGTTTTTAAGCTGCTATTCATGTTTAAAAATCTAGATTTCAGCTGAAGTCATCAGGGTTTCCCTTAATGAGGGGTGGGGTGATTTTCTGCTGACGTGAAAAGGAGAATATTTTTTTTCCGTCTAAATTTGGGTAAATATCCTCAGCCAGTTTGGAGGGTGGGATTTGCTCCAGCATCCTGCACTGGAATGAAGTTAAAAGTGCTAAACCAGGAATCTTGCACCATTCCCTAATGGAGCAGACAAGGAATGTGCTGCCCTCAGCAGCTCTGGAATAAACAGGCACAAAAATAAAAACCTTGATCCACAAGCCATTCCCTGCCATCCCTGCAGCATTCCCACCCTCTGTGCCCACTCCCAGAACACCAGCAGCTTTCCTGGCTGCCACAGGCACAGAAGCAAAGTTTCCAGGAGTTGCACATGACTCTAGAAGGAAACAAAAATTCGCATTTGGCACCTCAAGGCCCTGCTGGAGCTGCTGACTCCCTGCAGCCAGCTGGGAAATGACAGGAATTGCACCTTTGCCACCTGATCTCAGCCAGGCTGGCACTGACAAAGAGCTGCACCAGGGCCAGGGAGCCAAAAGTCCTGAGGAATATCTTGGAACAGTTTTTTAGGTCTTAGGAAGTCGTGATCTCATCATTTCATCTCTTGGGAGCAGGGAGAGAAGCAACCTCATGGATGAAAAATGTTGGTTCTAAATTATCCCTGCAGCTCTGGGAGCAGGAAATTCATTTTCCTGGGTTTATATTTCTGTCAAACACGGTTTAATTCTCTTTTTAGTGTTTTTATGCTGGCTTGGCACCACTGATTTGGGTGTAGCAGAGCAAGGGAAGGCACATTGGGATCTGCTGAATTTTAGAGCTGCTGACTTCACCACCCCATTCCTCTCTCAGGTATTCCTACAAAGAAAGGTTCTGGAATGTTCCTGAGCACCCACTCCAGGGGATTTCTCCCTCACCTCCGTGCAGATTCCATTTTTGGAGGCTCCAAGCTTTGCTGAGTGCTTCCCTCCTGCCTCACAGCTCTCCACCCTCTCCCACCACTTCCCAGGAGAGCTTTTTGCTCTCCTCCAGCTCTTCAAGGTCCTCCCAACTCCCCCACATCTTATGCCATCAGGAAACTCGGACACTTTTTATGCTGTGCCTCCCTCAAGGTCACAAATTTCAAAGGGGACCTGAACACTCTGAGTGCTGTTCCCTTTTTCCGGCTTTTTTTCCCGTGATCTCTGCTCTCTGTTCCTGTGGGGTTAATTCATCTCTTTTCAAAACCCTCCTCCAACTGAAGCCGGCTAAATCAGTGGTAGCTCCTAAAAAAAATACTAAAATTTAGCTCCTAAAAATACCCAGGAAAGACAACCAGGGAGGGATTGAGCTCTGCAAGCCGGGAAGGGCCGAGTGCTTGGCTGCAGCTGGAGAATGTTTTGTCTCCCGTCCCTCAAAACTCTCCGTCATGTCCTCCGTATGTTCCAGCAAATTCATCAGGCATGACTCACAGAGCTTCCCCGTGCACATTCCTGTCTGCTGACCGCCCCTTCCTAAATTTAGACTCGACTTTTGTTGCTTCAGTCACGGGGGAAGGTGAAGAGCTGCAGACCCACGTCCCTTCCTCGTGTCACAGGCGGCGCTGGAAGGGACTTTGATTCCAGCATGGGGAGGAGGATTTGTCTCCTTCCTCGGCTTGTCACTGGCACTGCTGCTGCAGGGACGGTGAGGATGGTGAGGGATGCCATCCTCAAGAGGAAGGATGGGGAATTCTGCTTCATTCCATGAGGGCAGAGATGAGAATGCTTTGGGTCAACTCCGACTCCATTGTTAGATCAGGGAGGAATGACATCCCTCTGTGGAATCAGACTTGCTGCTCCTCCTAAATTTGTGTGAATTCAGCCATCCAGTGACTTTTCTTCTGAGAATCACTCCTAAATTTCGTGAATTCAGCCATCCAGTGACTTTTTTTCTTCCTGAGAATCAGTCCTAAATTTGTGTGAATTCAGCCATTCAGTGAATTCTTTTCTTACTGAGAATCGTTCCTAGATTTGTGTGAATTCAGCCATTCAGTGACTTTTCTTCTGAGAATCACTCCTAAATTTGTGTGAATTCAGCCATTCAGTGAATTCTTTCCTTACTGAGAATCAGTCCTAGATTTGTGTGAATTCAGCCATTCAGTGACTTTTTTTCTCCCCTACTTCACTCTCTGGAATACGTCCTAAAGGTACAAAACCTATTATTCAGCACAAACAGAACGAAACAATTAGGGATAAAAGCATCATATAGTCAACCCAGGACATTTACTGAGAATCAGTTCTAGATTTGTGTGAATTCAGCCATTCAGTGACTTTTTTCCTCACTGAGAATCATTCCTAGATTTGTGCGAATTCAGCCATTCAGTGATTTTTTTCCTCACTGAGAATCAGTCCTAAATTTGTGTGAATTCAGCCATTCAGTGAATTCTTTTCTTACTGAAAATCAGTCCTAAATTTGTGTGAATTCAGCCATTCAGTGAATTCTTTTCTTACTGAAAATCAGTCCTAGATTTGTGTGAATTCAGCCATTCAGTGAATTCTTTTCTTACTGAAAATCAGTCCTAGATTTGTGTGAATTCAGCCATTCAGTGAATTCTTTTCTTACTGAAAATCAGTCCTAGATTTGTGTGAATTCAGCCATTCAGTGAATTCTTTTCTTACTGAAAATCAGTCCTAGATTTGTGTGAATTCAGCCATTCAGTGACTTTTTTTCCTCACTGAGAATCAGTCTGGCTTGAATGGTTTCTCCAGACATTTCACATTCCTGAGGCTCAACCTGCTGGCTGTGAAAGGAACAGGGATCACTGTGCCAAGTGACCTTCAGCTGGGGAATTCTGTGCTCCTCTGTTCCCAGGGGGAACATTCACCAGGAGTGATGTCAGACACTGACAGCACAGCTTGAATATTTTCAGCTCCATCCAGGCGCCTGGGAGTGGCCATAAATCCAACAAGTGTCACTGGAGATGGGCACATGTGCACCCCTCTTTGTGCCAGCCACAAAGGGGTGGTTATCATGAAATAAAAGCATTAATTTCTCATAAAAATTGGAATAAAATGATTCTTCCTCACCCTACTGACCTCCTGGGGCTACTCAGAGCATTCACTGCTTTGGGTTCAGAGCAAAGCTGAGGATTGTGAATGAAATTTCACCAGAGGAGCAGGAACAGAGTCCAGCTGGAAGAGCTGTGCCAAGCCTAGGAGGGAAAACCTTCCCTTGAGATGCCAGGAAAGGCTTTGGAGTGGGCAGCTCCCTCGGGAAGAGGCTCCTGGGGAGGTTGTGCTGCTCTCCTTGGCAAGGCTGGGAGGATCCTGCTGGAAATTCAGCTGTGCTCTGGAACTGGGAATAAACACAGAGCCTCAGGCTCCTGCTCTCCCGGCCTGCCCTTTCCACATTACAATATCCACCAGCTCCAAAGTGGATGCTCGCTGGATGTGCTCTGACATCGGCCACAAAACATTGTAAGGAACATTTTCTGCCAGGGAAAAACAAAATAAAACTCTCACAGTTATTCCACTCCTGCATTTCAAACCTCTGAATGCTTTGAGGAGCAGAGCACACACGTCCATGGCAGAGCTGGAATTTGCTCCCAGCTGTCACTGTCAGGCTGTGACAGGGAAAATGTGCCTGGGGAGGATGGCATGAATGAGCTGCTCAGGGCTTGCCTGTGGTGGTCAATAAATTCTCCCCAAGGGTTGGGTATTTCACACATGGGGTCGTGGAATGGTTTGGGTTGGAAGGGACAGAGGATCAGCCAGTCCCACCCCTGCCATGGGCAGGGTCACTTTGTGCTGTCCCAGGTTGCTCCATCCGGGTTTTGGACACTTCCAGGGATCCAGGGGCAGCCACAGCTTCTCTGGACAACCTCTCAGGGAAGGATTTATTCCCTATATTTAACTTAAATTTCTCTCTATCAGTTTGAACCTGTGTGGAATTTAACTCGTATTCTCAGCTGACATCTCCCAGCTCCACCCTGGCAATTGAGACCTGGAGTTTCTGCATTTTCCAGGTCACAAATCCAAAACAGATCCTGAGGAAGGTCCTTCCCCACTCCTTTCCTTGCCCTTGCTGTGTGTCCTGTCCCTGTCAAGGCTCTGCTCTCCCTCCTTGCAGACAGCCCTTCGGCTCCAGTAAATGTCACAGTCAAACACCTGAAAGCCAACTCGGCCGTGGTCACTTGGGATGTCCTGGAAGACGAAGTTGTCATTGGATTTGCAATTTCCCAGCAGGTACCGTGCTAGAATCACCCACTTCCAGCCATGTCCATCTCCCCCCAGGTGGTTCCCAAATCCTCTCGCTGCAGTTTAAGCCCATTCCTCCCGTCCTGTCCCTCGCGGTCCTGTCGGGGATTTGGCTCCCCCATCCCCTTTGCAGCGGTGGCTGCAGAGAGGGAAGGATCCTGATGGTTCCTCCACATCCACGTGGTGGGCAGGGCAGCAATCAGTGGCCTTAGGTGACAACAAATGCACGTGGAGAAGCCTCTCCACCACTCTGTGCTCTCCTCTCTCGGCTTCCAGAAGAAGGACGTGCGGATGCTGCGCTTCATCCAGGAGGTGAACACCACCACCCGCTCCTGTGCCCTCTGGGACCTAGAGGAGGACACTGAGTACATTGTGCATGTCCAGGCCATCAGCATCCAAGGCCAGAGCCCAGCCAGTGAGCCAGTCCTCTTCAAGACCCCCAGGGAAGCTGAGAAACTAGCCTCTAAAAATAAAGGCAAGTGTGGGTGAGTTCCTACGTGGCCCCTGGGGACACAGGGCTCTGCAGAGAGGAACAAGGATCCTGTGTGGTGAGAGGAGCTGGGAGAATAAATAGGTGATAAATACATAAACCCTGTGAGATAAACACTCATGGGGCTGGGTGTCCTCTCAGCATGTGCTGAGGGGGCACAGGGTGCCAGGGAGGTGCTGCTGGAGGTGGCTGCTCCTTCTCCTGTCTCAGATGAGATTTAACAAGGTGAGGAGGAGGAAGAGGAGGAGGTTTGCAGCTCTGTGCAGCTCCCTACAAGTGGAGAATGCCAGGGGGAATTCCTGGCCAGCCTGGGAACTCATGGATCCAGTCCACAGGACGGCACTGGGCATACCACTGTGCTCACAGGGCACTTGGAAAATTCACAGCACCTCCTGGGCTTGGATTTCAGGGAAAAAATACTCCTTCTCCCATCCCAGATGGGATTTAACAAGGTCAGGAGGAAGTTTGTAGCTCTGTGCCCTGCTCCCTACAAGTGGAGAATTCCTGGCCAGCCTGTGAACTCATGTGGATCCAGCCCACTGGATGGCACTGGGCACACCACTGTGCTCACAGGGCACTGGTGGGACTCACAGCACCTCCTGAGCTTGGGTTTCAGGGAAAAAAATACTCCTTCTCCCATCCCAGATGGGATTTAACAAGGTGAGGAGGAAGAAGAGGAGGAGGTTTGCAGCTCTGTGCAGCTCCCTACAAGTGGAGAATGCCAGGGGGAGTTCCTGGCCAGCCTGGGAACTCATGTGGAATCCCACTGTGCTCACAGGGCACCTGTGGGACTCACAGCACCTCCTGAGCTTGGGTTTCAGGGGAAAAAATACCCAGAGGCTCCCACTTTTCTTATATTTTCAATATTTCTGCCAAATCACAGAAAGATGAGCTTGGAAGGAACCTCACTCAGGCAGGGTCAAGCAGAGCAGGTCCAGGATCACATCCAGCTGGGTTTTCATTATCTCCAGGGAGAAAATCAGGCACTTCCTCACTGGAAACTCCTTCACTTGTTCCTTTTTAGCCAAATCAGGCTCTTGAGGGTTTTCTATCAGCAAAAATCCTGCTCCAAAGAGGGCCTGGAAGCACAGGGCTGTGGGGACACCCAGGTCCCCCCTGCCTGCTGAGGGCCCAGCCTGTTCCAGGGCTTTTGGCCATGGTTCTGAGGATGTGAGTCCTTGACTCTCTTTATTAACCTGATTTGGAGGCTGTAATCCTGAATTGCTGTTTATCTGGAAGCACTAAGAGGAGCACTGCTCCTTTCCTGGGGGCCTGAACTGTAATCTCCTTAACGCTTTGAAGCCAAGGAGGCGAATTACACCCTGCAAAAAGGGCTCTGCTCCTTTCTGAATCCCAGAGCTCTGCTGAAAAATGTCCTGCCACGCTCTCCATGCTTCTGAGCTGGAGCATGCCAGGCTTTGGGACAGGTGCAGATGGCACAAACAGGGACAGGGACAGCAGAGAGAGCAGCCATGGGGACAGAAAACACTGCCCTGTCCCACTGCTCCTCCCTGGTTCCGTCCCCTCAGGGTGTGACAGCATAAATCCTGGAATCCCAGCCTGGTTTGGGTTGGAAGGGACATAAAGCTCACCCTGTGCCACCCCTGCCATGAGCAGGGACATTTCCACCATCCCAGGGTGCTCCAAGCTGGCCTTGGACACTTGCAGGGATGGAGCAGCCGCAGCTGCTCTGGGAAATCCATTCCAGCCTCTCTCACAGGGGGAAATTCCTTCCTAAATCCCAATCCAAGGAGGGTCAGAACTCTGCTCCTGCCACACTGCCTGGGCTCAGGAGCTCTCCTAAGCTCTCCTAAGCCAGGCTTTGTGTCTCACGGTGTCTCTTTGCCCTTGTGCAGATGAGGTGACAATGAAGGAGATGGCAAAGAAAAACCAACAGCTGCGAGCGGGGGAAGTTCTCATCATTGTTGTGGTGTTGTTCATGTGGGCAGGTCAGTCCCAGCTTTCTCACATTTAATATCCACAGGATATCCTCAGGAATGCCTGGCTGCACGTGGAACCATGGAAGAAACCTTTCCTCACACACAAAAATCAGAATTCCCAACTGTAAGGGCACCTCAAGTTGGGTTTTGCAGCTCCAGTTTGGTCCACCAGGAAGCAGAAAATGGATTTGATGGAAGCAATTCCCTATGGATAATCCTGTAATCTTATTTTTTTCCAGACTGCCCTGATTATGGTGCTCTCAGCCACAGAAACATGGAATAGTTTGGGTTGGAAGGGACACAAAGATCATTTTGTTCCACCCAACCTTCCACCAGAGCAGGTTGCTCCAAGCCCTGTCCTGGAACATTTCCAGGGATCCAAATTCCAACAAGATATGCCTTGAGTCCTTCAGATATTACAGGTTGCAGTAATTTTCTGGATATTAAATTATTCCAATGCTCAGGCAAAATAGAGATTTAAGAGTCTTGCTCTCCACACCCACTATGCATATTTATATTTATATTTATATTTATATTTATATTTATATCTATATCTATATCTATTTTATGTATATATTTATTTAATATATGTATATATTTATATTTTATGAATTTTATATTCATATTTATAAATTGTCCACAGAAATTTCCCCATCACAGAAAGGGATGCAGGAATCCAGGTGACACTGAATCAGATCCATGTATAATAATTTTTTCCCCCCTTATTTGCATCTCTAGAAACTGGACAGCAATTATTCCTAAAGCAAACAATCACATGAAAATGGAAACGAATTTAGAAGATTTCCAGAAGCTCTAGGCCATTATTTTTTCAGCATTTATGCCATGTTTTAGTTGTTCACATCGCAGTTTCAATGCCCTGCCAGGGAAAATAATCATGAATAATTACATGGGGTGACTGAACAACTGATTCATCTCCCGCTGTAGAATAATCTGAGACTCGGATCAGCTGGGAACAAAGAATTTGCTAATCCCACAATTTCCCTTCCAGACAAATTACTTACATTTAAAAAGCAAAAGGGGTGTGGAGAAAATCTCTCTACATCAAATGGGTCCTTTAAAAAGTCTCAATACACAAAAACCTCCTTCCAGCTTTTCACCTGTCCTGTATGACAATATTTGAGAAAATCCAAATGAAACCAGAGCTCTGGACTGAGCCAAGCCTCAGCTCTTGTGTTTCTGGAGTTTTTCATGGCATTTTCCTTCTTTGTGTGTCAGTTTTACCCAAAGAAATCACACAAGGAGTGGCTGTGGCAGATGTGAACGCCTTTTCTCCTGGAATCAGCCGCTTACCCACATTCCCAAAGAAAGAATTGGGGCCACCGTGTTTATCAGTAAAGCCTGGGGGCAACTGCCACGCTGGTTTTATAGAGCAGGATGCTGGAAGATTTGAATATATTTTGCTATTAAGGAAGATTTTTTTCAAGGAGGGAGAAGCAGCATCTGCCTGGATCCACTTCACCTACGTGTCTGGAATGTGCAGGCAGAGAGGTTATTTGGTGGAAACATCACATAAAAGCTTCTCAGACAGACATTTGCAGTCATCTTCCGTGCCACGGCTGCCCCTGCTCCCCTCTCCACGTGCCTGGGGCTGTGGGGGAGGAAATTTCCACTCGCAGCTTGTGCTGGTGCCCATTTGCAGGTGCTGGAAGGTTCAGAACCTCTCCTCTGCCAGCTCCAGGGACAGGGGAGAGGACAGGGAGCAGGGGACAGGGAGCAGGGGACAGGGAACAGAGGACAAGGAGCAGAGGACAAGGAGGAGAGGACAGGGAACAGAGGACAAGGAGCAGAGGACAAGGAGGAGAGGACAAGGGGCAGAGGACAAGGGGCAGAGGACAGGGAACAGAGCACAAGGAGCAGAGGACAGGGAGGAGAGGACAAGGAACAGAGGACAAGGAGGAAAGGACAGGGAGCAGAGGAAACATTTTCCCTGGGCAGAAATTCCAGCAGCTCCTCCAGTGCTCACTGAACAGCAGGAGCAGAAAACAAGGAGGAGAGGACAAGGAACAGAGGACAGGGAACAGAGGACAAGGAGCAAAGGACAAGGAGGAGAGGACAGGGAGCAGAGGACAGGGAGGAGAGGACAAGGAGGAGAAGACAGGGAACAGGACAAGGAGCAGAGGACAAGGAGGAGAGGACAAAGAGCAGAGAACACACTTTCACCAGGCAGAAATTCCAGGAGCTCCTCCAATGCTCACTGAACAGCAGGAGCAAAGGACAGGGAGCAGAGGACAAGGAGCAGAAGACAGGAAACAGAGGACAGGGAGCAGAGGACAAGGAGCAAAGGACAAGGAGGAAAGGACAGGGAGCAGAGGAAACATTTTCCCTGGGCAGAAATTCCAGCAGCTCCTCCAGTGCTCACTGAACAGCAGGAGCAGAAAACAAGGAGGAGAGGACAAGGAACAGAGGACAGGGAACAGAGGACAAGGAGCAAAGGACAAGGAGGAGAGGACAGGGAGGAAAGGACAAGGAGCAAAGGACAAGGAGGAGAGGACAAAGAGCAGAGAACACACTTTCACCAGGCAGAAATTCCAGGAGCTCCTCCAATGCTCACTGAACAGCAGGAGCAAAGGACAGGGAGCAGAGGACAAGGAGCAGAGGACAAGGAGGAAAGGACAGGGAGCAGAGGACAAGGAGAAGAGGACAGGGAGGAGAGGACAAGGAACAGAGGACAAGGAACAGAGGACAAGGAGCAAAGGACAAGGAGGAAAGGACAGGGAGAAGAGGACAAGGAGAAGAGGACAGGGAGCAGAGGACACATTTTCAGCAGGCAGAAATTCCAGCAGCTCCTCCAGTGCTCACTGAACCACGGGGTTGGCGTTGGTCGAGGTCCAAGTGCAGAGCTTAAAACACTTCATAACAGGGAGGCTGGAATCTAATTAATCTTCTGTCATCCTGTCTAACTAGTTTAGCATTGAATTAAGGGAAGGGAAGAGCCAGAGGGCAGCCTGGCCGTGCTCTGGGAGGAACTGGGAATGCCGCCGAGGCTGGCCAGAGGGATCTGTGATCTCTGCGGGCTGCCGAGCCTGGCTGTGATGCTGATGCTCTCTCCCGGCAGGGGTGATCGCCCTGTTCTGCAGACAATACGACATCATCAAAGACAACGAGCCCAACAACAGCAAGGAGAAAGCCAAGAGCGCCTCGGAGAACAGCACACCCGAGCACCAGGGCGGGGGCCTGCTGCGGAGCAAGGTGAGCGCCCGATTTGTGCTAAATCAGCCCAAAAAAAGCTCTGCTCAAAATCCTCTCCTCGAAGGGAACACCCTCCACACCCACGGCTCTGCTGATCGGGACGGCAGCGCTGCGCTCCCACCTCCAGCATCCTGCGTGGCCGCCAGAAATCAGATTTCAAGCCACGTTTCTGGATGATCTGAGCGTCTCTGGAGGAAAAAAAAATGAGTTCCTCGGGTCCTCCCACAGCAGCACGTGGCAAAGAGGACGCTGCTGCTGTAATTAACTGCAGAGTTAATCAGCAGGAGCAAAGATGGTAACACAATGTCGGAGTGTAAATAGGTCAAGCTTTTAAATTATCCCAACTTATTTCAATTAATGGAACTTCCTCCTCGTGTTTCTGTTCACATTCCCACCATATTTATTTAGTATTTTAAATAGTTCACTGATTTTTGATGGTTCAGAAGCAGTGACAAGCCTAAAACCTCAACTCTGACCATTTTTCATCACCACGAAGGTGTGGGAAGGAGAATTTTCACAAAACACAACCTGCAGACTGCGCTGAGCTCTGATGTGATTTTTCCCTTGTACCCATCCGTTTTTTTTCCCCTTTGTTTCCTCTCCTAGTTTCCAAAAAACAAGCCCTCAGTGAACATCATTGAAGCATGACAGCCTGACACCTGAGAGATGGACTCCATGCCTCACTCTCACTCTGAGCCGTGCTGACTGGGGAGGTGAAACATTGGCGGAGCGATTTGCAAAACAAGACCTCGTGATTGTCACTCCCTCCTCATCCCTGTTTCTGCAAAACACCTGGCCAGGAAGGGAAATCCTGAAAAAATAAAAAAAAAAAACAAGAAAACCAAACCCAAACAAAGATGGAGAAGAATCAGCGATGCTGGAGTGATCTGTGAATCAGATTGGAGCAACATCTCCCACGCTCACGCTCCATCCTCTGGGACAGTTTTCCTGGTTTTTGGGAATGCACAAGGTTCTGTTGTGTCTTTCTCACTGTCACTGCATCCCTGGCAGGACTCCCAGGCATCAGGCACATCCCTCTGTGAGCAGGAATGGAGGGAAGCTCATGGCAAACTCCACCACCGAGAAGCCAAATTTTGGCTGCGGCGCGCTCGGGCCTCGCTTTGTTCATCGATGTGTGTCGTGCACCACGTCCTGCAGGTGGGTGTCTCAAACAAAAAAAAGCGTCCCCCAGTTCCCATTTCCACCAGGAGAACTTCCCTGGCTGCTCTCCAGCTGGGCTGCAGCACATTCTGCACTGCTGCTGTCTCTCCTCTCTCACACTGGTGCTCTTCACCTCAGAAAAATCGGGGAACGCTGAGGCACAGACCAACATGAGGGGACACCAGAAGCTGGTCTTTAGCTTCCAGGATAATTTCCACCATTTTCTTCGTGGTATTTTCAGCTGGGCCTGACTCCACCACCAATGGGATAAAAGGTCCATAAAAATGTAGCCAGACAGCAAAAAACAAAAAATACAGAAAAAGACAAAATACCTGATGGTTGCTATGCAAGGTCTCCAGGGGCAGGAGCTGTTTCTTGTGGAAGGCTCTGGCCTGAGGGGCCTTTTTTTTGAGGGCTTAAGTTCTTCAAATGCTTCTTTTAGTAAAGTTTGTGTGTGGGAAGGGCTGGTTCTCCTTACACATCCTGCCTGTTGGAATGGCAGGAGCCTGCTGGACACAGCCCTTCCCAAAAAGGGATGAGGATGGAGGGGAAAAGGGCTGAGCTTTTCCTCTTTCTTAGGAAATGCTGGATGTCTGTAAGCTGACAGGATCCCTGGGGATTGCTGGTGCTCTGGAAAGCTGGGAGATGCAGGACCATGACATGGAAAAGATTTATTCTTTGTAGTGTGCCATGGGGTATCTGTGTTTATTTAACTCCTCCACAAGACCACTCCACACGCACTTAGGGGATGAGGTAGGATCCGAATTGTTCCATCAAATGCCAACATCAGAGGTTGGCCTGAGGAAGCTTTGGAGGAGCCTGGGTTGGGAGTTCCTGAGCAGGAACAGCCTGGCAGTGAGGAGCTGCCATCTCTCCTCTTCCCCTGTCACCAGCTTTTCCCAAAGAGCTGGGTTGGGAAAAAGGCACTGGGAAGTTCTCCTGAAGATGTTCCTGCTTCCAGGCAGGCCAACCCCAAAGGTGGCTCCAGGATCCTTTGCCTGAACATACTCTTCCATCACCAAGAAGGAGAGGTCACCACCTCTGATACAGACAGAGCAATAAACATTTTATAATGTACAATAAAAGATTAAAGGCGTCTCTTGTGTCCTTGTAATGCCTGAATTTCATTATTTTATATTCACTTGTTTTGAGCAGCACACACACACCCTAAAACTTTGTATTTCCCAGACCTAAAACTTTAACAGAACTACAAAATTAAATATTTTCTCAGTGTCTGGGTGGAGAAAACCAGGGAGGGTTCTGGCTGCAGGACTAAAAAAACTTTCACCAAAAATAGCACCCCCAGCCCTACCTAACAAAATCCTTCAGCCACGTCTGTTATCTCCCAAGGAAGAAATAGCATTTGGAATGCACAGCCCTACAAAGGGAGATTTGGGACAGATGGTACAGCATGTGCAAAATGATAAGGGAGATGCTCTCTCCTAATCCTGGGGCAGAGAGCTGCTCCAGAGGAAATCCAGCCTGGTAATTTGGCAGCTTTGGGGGTTGTGTGGCTGTTTTAGAGCCACTTGTCCCTGGGAATTCAGACCATATCCCTTTTTTTCCACAGTTGTTGTTCCCTAGGGACAGATTTAAGCAATTCCTTTCCTGACAGAGATGTGATCACTCATTTGGTCGAGCAGAATTAAATTTAAAGTGTCAGTGAGGGGCAGAGTTCAATATTCACATGTGGCAGGAGGTGCCAGGGTTATTCTGATAACTTGCATTTGATAACCCATAAGTGCAGCCTTGGAGAGTAAGAAAATGTTATTTGTGAGGAGAAACAAATGTGGGCTGGCAGAATCCAGCTCAGACAGGGACTCCAAACCACCCAGTCCAAGTGATTCCCTTCAAGGAAATTTTCCAACCCCTATGAATTGAAATGAAGAGTAAATCCACACTTTAGGAAAAGGTTAGAGGAGAATAAAGTTACTTAAAACGCTGCTGTTCTGAGGGTCATAAACATCAAAGCTTTAACTGCTGTCTGGGTATTAAATTCCACTGTAACCCATGAGAGTCAGCCACTAACCCCATCTTTAGAACAGAGACCTCACTCCCATCAGCAGCTGCCAAAAGCTCCTCCTGAGGTGTTTTACAGTCAATAAAGCAAAAATAAACCAAATCCACACTGAGAGAAGTCATGCTGGGCCACAGCTCAGCCCACCCTCCAGACCACCCACTCCCCCCACGTGCTTTTGCCCCGAGTGCTGATTTTGACTCATTGTTGGAAGCGGGAGCTGCAAAAAGGGAGGTTTCAAGAAACACTAAAAAGCAGCAAGTGGGAGTGGGCTGCTGTGCCAGGGATCCCAGCGAGGCCGATTCCCTGCCGAGCTCTGAAAGCAAAACCCTCCCAGCTGGCTGGGGATGAATCCCGTGGATTTCCAAGAACCACCAGAGCAGAGATTTGGGGGCACAATAGCTGCAAACAAGGCAGCTGCAAACAAAACCCTTTGCCAGCACGCTCAGGGTGTATTTGGAGTTAAGCACCGCTCTCCTCCCTCCCTGCCAGCGCTGCAATATTATGCCTACAAAGTACAATTTAACCAATAGATTCCTCCCCCACGAGTTTAGCAGAAAGAGGAGCCGCGGGAGGAAGTGTGGAGCAAACAATCCTGCACAGCGTGTCCTTCCAACTCACAACACAGCCCCAGCCACTTGTCACCCCCTCCCCCGGGCCACCAGGCACCGGCACAGCTCCTGCTCCCAGGGAAAACGGCAACACGAGGCGCTTTGGAGCCGCTGCCACTTCAAGAAAAAGCCAGGAGGAAACACCTACACTGGAGGAAAAGTGTTAGCACAATCTCAGCTGCTGATGGAGATGCCAAGGGAGAGAGGAACAGGCGGCTGGTGGCAGCGTTTGCCAAGGATGGGAGAGGTGACATCGCTGCAAAGCCAATGGCACAGCTGCATGTCGCAGACATTTTTTTCACAGAAATCTTTTTTTTTCAGATTTCTGCATTTTCTGAGAAGTAAGAGCCCCAGAAAGAGAATGTAAGCAATGATTATCAGCTGCTGTAGAATGCAATAAGATGCACCTGTGATTAATTCATGTTCCCATGTTTATAATTAAGAGCTATTACAGCGACCTGAGGTGGTCGCTGGGGTGGTGAGAGAAAGACGAGAATCTTGTTTCTTGATCAGAAGGCTGGATTTATTGATATATGATATATAATACATTATAATTATACTAAATAGAATAAAAAGAGAGGTTGCAGAGGCTGCTAAGCTAAGAATAGAAAGAAAGAATCTATAACAAAGTTCTGTGTCCAGGGACTCTGTCCCCAGCTTGTTCCTGTGATTGGCCCTTAATTATAAACATGGGATCATGAACCAATCCCAGGTGCATCCTATTGCATTTCACAGCAGCTGATAACAATTGTTTACATTCTTCTTCTGGGGCCTTTGCTTCCCAGAAGATACACAACCCCAAAGAAAGGATTTCTGTGAAAAAATGTCTGCGACAAAGAGCCAATCGCAGGAGCAAGCTGGAGACAGAGACCCTGGACACAACTTTGTTATAGATTCTTTCTTTCCATTCTTAGCTTAGCAAGCATCTACAACTTCTCTCTTCTCTATTTAGTATAGTTATAATGTATTACATATCATGTATCAATAAATCCAGCCTTCTGATCAAGAAACAAGATTCTCGTCTTTCTCTCACCCCAGCGACCACCTCAAGTCGCTGTAATAGCTGCACATCCACTTTGCCCAGCACAACACGGCCCGAGCTTCCCGAGGAGAGAGAGCTGAAGATGACACCATATGTTCCACCAAATGTAATTTCCCCCAGATTTGCAGCAAAAAAAAAACTTCCTAACGACGCATAATGAGCTATTACAGCCTCGTCTGGAAGCAGGGCTGACCAAATTCAATCAGCTTTCCCAGCTTTTGTTCAAAAGCTGCCCCATCAAGGCGCTTGTTATGCTAAAATATTTTCTGTTTGCTCCACAAATCTGGTGGCTATTGAATTTGTCTGGTGACCTCAGGCATTGAAATGATGCTTTTCTCCCTTGGTGGGGCTGCAGCCCACACGTCTGGAGGAAAAAAGGAGTTGGTTTCTCCTTCAGCCTCAATTTTGGTGAAGTAAGTTCCAAATGAAGAATCTTCATTATTAGTGGCAGAGCCGGGGAAGGCACAGCTTGAATTTCAGATTCCCAGATGGAGGCAGCAAAGCTGGCAGCCAGAAAAATCTTTATTTTTCCTTGGAATTTGGGCATGCTGGATGCAGAGCCATTGAGTGGCAATAATGACAGAGCCCCACGATGCCATTTGACACTTTGAACTCACAAAACCCTCACCTTTAAAGCCACCAACTAAATAAAATAAAACTAACTAAATAAAACCTAAATAAAACCTATTTATACCATCCAGATCCGTTCTGCACCTAAATATCCTCCCAAACCAAACCAAAATTTTATCAGCTTCCACTATTTCCCATTTGAGGATGTAATTTCTTCCTCCTTACAGGAAAGATCTGGTTGGTTTTTGAGAGGAAGGCATTAAAAAACCCCACACAGGGGTTTCATTTCAGCCTCATTGTTTTCCAGCTGCAATGCATTGATGAACACTGTTAAATTTTTAATTGTGATGCATTTTGCCA